GAAGCCACAACAGCAGAGACAGACAGACAGACGCGCAAAAAACTAGAAACAAATCCATCGACAAAAATCCACCATTTAATATACCTGGCAACAATCACTATCATCCCCGAATACTACACAGCCCAAGGCATTCTCCGTATCTGTTGAACGATAAACTCCACGCCACACACTCACCCGGCACCTACCACAATACCCTCTAAACACCTTTAAAACTCCCACAATCATTGAGCTTCCTACCCAGGTGGAGTAAACGCTGTAGTGTATTACAGTGCCAAGTGATACCTTACACGAGGAAATGTGCTGACCCCGATGACAACATGAGTGGTACAGCTCGATGGGCAGCTCCTACCTGCTTCCCAACCGCCCATCTACCCGCCCTCTATCCACCACCCCCCTTGGATACCCGCCCACGTTACAGTACACCCCCATGCTGCCTCACCACCTCCCATCCCTTCTCCTCTCCTTCCACAATGCCTGCCTACAGAGCATAACAAGATGGGTACCTGGAGCCACTACCCCACAACCACTACCCCCACAACTACCCCACAACCACTACCCCACAACACCCCACACCACCCTACAACCATACCACCCCACAAACCACTAAGCCACAACTACCCCACAACCACACCCTACAACTACCCTGCAAACCACTACCACACAAAACCACAGCCCAAAACCACTCGCCTACAACCACTCCTCCCACAACCACTCACCCCACAACCACCCCACAAACACAACCCCACAAACACAACCCCACAACCACTACCCCACAACAACCACCCCACAACCATCACCCCTCTCAACCACTATCCACAACCACTCACCACAACCACCACCCCAACCACCACCCCTCAACCACACTACCTCAACCACTACCCCTCAACAACTCCTACAAACTACCACCTCAACCACTACCCCAACCACTACCCCAAAACAACCATCCACAAATACCTCAAATCCACTACCTCCCCTCAACCACTACCCTGCACAACCACACTACCCCCAACCACTTCACCCCAACCACTACTCCCTCAACCAGTACCCTCAAATTACCACCCTCAACCACTACCCCACAACCACTACCCTCAAACCACTACCCCCCACAACCACTACCCTACAACCACTACACTGCCAACAACTACTCCCCACAACCAATACCCCACAACCACACTACCCCACAAACTACTCACCACAACTCCACCCCAACCACTCCCAGAACCACTACCCTAACCACTACTCCCACAACTACTACCATTCAACCACTACCCTCAACCACACCTGAACCACAGTACTCCCACAACCACTACCCCACCACTACCCACACAACCACTACCCTCAACCACCCGCCTCCTCCCAACCACTCACCCCACAACCACTCACCCTCAACCACTACCCCACAACCACTACCCCACAACCACTACCTCCCACAACCACCACCCCAACCACTACCCCCACAACAACCACCCCACAACCACTACCCCACAACCACCACCCCACAACCAATACCCTAATAACCACTACCCCAACCAGTACTCCCCAACCACTACCCCACAACCACTACCCTCAACCACACTACCCTCAACCACTACCCCTCAACCACTCACCCTCAACCACTACCCTCAACCAGTACCCTCAACAGAATACCCCTCAACCACTACCCTCAACCACTACCCCACAACCATACCACCTCAACCAGTGTACCCTCAACCACTACCCCACAACCACTACCTCAACCACTACCCTCAACCACCACCCTCAAACTACCACCCCCAACCAGTACCTCATCCACTACCCCCACAACCACTACCCTCAACCACTACCCTCAACCACTACTCTACAAACCACTACACCTCAACCACTACCCTCAACCACTACCCTCAACCACATACCACCCTCAACCGCACCCCTCAACCACTACCCCAGAACCACTACCCTCAACCACTCACCTCAACCACTCCCCTACAACCACTACCCCTCAACCACTCCCCCCAGAACCACTACCCCAGAACCACTACCCCAGAACCACTGCCCCACAACCCCCCTGCCCCTCAGCCCTGCCCCTCCGGCCACTGCCCCTCAACCTGCCCCAGAACCACTGCCCCACAGCCACTGCCCCTCAGCCACTGCCCACAACCACTGCCCTCAGCACACCCACCCAACCACTGCCCCTGACCACTGCCCCTCAGCCACTGCCCTCGACCACTACCCCTGACCACTACCAGCCACTGCCCTCAGCCACTACCCCCCACTACCCTCAGCCACTACCCCTCAACCACTGCCCCTCCAGCCACTACCCTCAACCACTGCCCCCAACCACTGCCCCTCAGCCACTGCCCCCACTGCCCCTCAGCTTTGCCCCTCAGCCACTGCCCCTCAGCCACTACCCCTCAGCCACTACCCCTCAGCCACTGCCCTCCAGCCACTGCCTCAGCCTGCCCCTCAGCCACTGCCCCTCAGCCACTGCCTGACCACTGACCTCGGCCACTGCCCACAACAGCTCCCCTCGCCCTGCCCAGCCACTGCCCCTCCAGCCACTGCCCCTCAGCCTGCCCCTCAGCCACTGCCCCTCAGCCACTGCCCACAAGCCACTGCACCTCAGCCACTGCCCAACCACTGCCCCTCAGCCACTGCCTGACCACTGCCTGACCACACCACTTACAACAGCTCCCCCTCAGCCACTGCCCCACAACCACTCCCCCTCAGCCACTACACCTGAACCACTACCCCTGGCCACACGCAACCACTGCCCCACAACCACTGCCCCTGGCCACACCCCACAGCCACTGCCCACCCACTGCCACAACCACTCCCCTCAGCCACTACCCCTGACCACCCCTGCCCTCAACCACTACTCCTCAGCTCCCCTCAGCCACTACCCCTCAGCCACTACCCCACAACAACTCACCCTCAGCCACTACCCCACAGCCACTGCCCCTGACCACTGCCCTCGGCCACTGCCCCACCAACCAGCTCCCCTCAGCCACTCCCCTCAGCCACTGCCCACAACCACTGCCCTCGACCACTGCCCCCAGCCACCCTCCCAGCCACTGCCCCTGACCACTGCCCCTCAGCCACTGCCACTCAGCCACTGCCCCAACCCTGCCCCACAACCACTGCCCCTGACCACTGCCCCTCCAACCACTGCCCTCAGCCACTGCCCCTCCAGCCACTGCCCCAAACCACTGCCTCCTGACCACCTGCCTGACCACTGCCCCTCAGCCACTTCCTCCCAGCCACTACCCCTGACCACTGCCCCCACTGCCCACTGCCCCAAGAGCCACTGCCCAAACTGCCCCTCAGCCACTGCCCTCCAGCCCTCTGACCTGCCCTCAGCCACTGCCCCTCCGGCCCCACTGCCCTCAGCCACTGCCCCTCAGCCACTGCCCTCAGCCACTGCCCTCAGCCACTGCCCTACCACTGGCCTCAGCCACTGCCCACAACCACTCCCCTCAGCCACTGCCCCAGCCACTACCCTCGGCCACTACCCCTCAACCACTGCCCCTCCCAAGCCACTGCCCTCCACCACTACCCCTCAGCCACTACACCCCTCGGCCTGCCTGACCACTGCCCCTGACCACTGCCCCTCAGCCTTCCCAGCCACTGCCCTACCCCCACTGCCTGCTCCCCTCCCAGCCACTGCCCCAGCACTGCCCTCAGCCACTGCACCTAAACCACTGCCTACCTGCCTCAGCCACTGCACAACCCACTGCCCTGACCACTGCCCCGCAGCCACTGCCCCCACTGCTACCTCCCCTCAGCCACTGCCACACCACTGCCCCTCAACCACTACCCCACAGCAACTCACTCCCCCTCAGCCACTGCCCCTCAGCCACTACCCCACCGCTCACCTCATAAGCCACTGCCCCAGCCCACTGCCCCTGACCACTGCCCCTCAGCCACTGCCCACAACCACTCCTCCCACAGCCCACAGCTACCCTACCACTGCCCCTCAGCCACTGCCCCCCGACCACTGCCCTCCCACCTGCCCACAACCACTGCCCCTCGACCACTACCCTCAGCCACCTTCCTGACCACTGCCCACAGCCACTGCCTGACCACTTTCACCCTCAGCCACTCCTCAGCCCTCTCCCTCAGCCCACTGCCCACAAACCACTGCCTCCTGACCACTGCCCCAACCACTGCCCCTCAACCACACCCTCAACCCGCACTGCCCCCCCACAACCACTGCCACTGCCCTCAGCCACTACCCCAAAACCACTACCTCACAGCCCTGACCCCTCAACCACTACCCCTCAACCACTACCCCTCAGCCACCCCCAAAACCACTACCCCTGACCACTGCCCCTGACCACTACCCCACAACCACTGCCCCACTGCCCTCAGCCACTGCCCCCACAGCCACTGCCCCCAACCACTGCCCCTCAACCCACTGCCCTCAGCCTGCCACCCCTCCAGCCACTACCCCTCAACCACTACCCCTGACACTACCCCCTGACCACTGCCCCTGACCACTACCCCAACTAGATCTGACTCGTGGCTTGCCGTAAGCAACCCACACCTGCCTCCCCAGGCCTACCCATCTGGGCACCCCATGCTCATCCCCAGAGCACCACACCTCTGGGCCTTGCACTCCACACTCTCTGGAGCACTTGCTCTAGGCACTTACACTCATCACAGCACCCCACATCTCTGGGCACCCCACATCTCTGAAACCCCGCCTTGCTCACCCCAGAGCACACTCTCATCTCAGGCCTCATATCTGACACTTCACTCTAGAGCACCCACACTCTACAAACTCCACCTCTGAAACACCCCACACTCTCCCCCAAACACTCTCCACTCATACTGAGCACGCACCACTCCCCAGAGCACACACACACCATACAGACACCCCACACTGTCTGGAAACCCCACATATCTGCCACACCACATTCTCCCAAACACCCCCACACTCTCCCAAACACCCCACTCTCCAAACACACTCTTCCCAAACACCCCACTCTCCCCAAACACCCACTCCCCAAACACCCACACTCTCAAACACCCCTTATGGTTTTAATGTGAATATTTCAGTAATTTATAGTTAGTATATGATTCCTGATGTCCGTATTTTCCAATCAGTTTTATTATGAAGACTATAAATTATTTTTACCCTTAAATTTTCTTTCAATTAAAAATCCCTAAATCCTTCATATTTATTAACGTTAATTTAATATATATCTGATAATCTATATAATTATATAATTAGTATCCAAATAATTAACGTTTTCTCAGCAAAAATAAATCACAATAAGTTTAGGTGTGTATAATTATTTGATTTAGGTACAGATTATATATATTCCCGTATGATTAGTTAATGCATAATTAATCTTGTCTGGTCATGACAATAATATCTGTTGGACTCTCTCTGTAGAATCTGTATAAAAAGACTGTCTTAGTCAGTTTTGGGTGAGGGTAGTGTGAAGTGTGGTGATCTATGACGTCACGGCCAATAACACTAGAGGCTGTGTGTGTGTGTGTGTGTGTGTGTGTGTGTGTGTGTGAAGGTAGTGTGTGTGGTAACCAGAGTGGGGCTTCTGTAAATAAACAAAGTCCGCTGATCTGTGACGTCACGGCCAGCATACTGGAGGCTGTGTGTGTGTGTGTCACGTTTAATATAAGTACACTCAAATACGTATGTAGACATATATATACTCACAAAAGTTCACACACACACACACACACACACATACAAAGTATTTCCGGCAGGCCAGCCCACCACCTCCTCCTCTCCTGGCTTACACGAGTCAACCTTTATATTGAACCTCACATATACCTGAATCCTCCCCCCTCCTACAGGTCTTCCCCTCCTACACGTCCTTCCCCTCCTACTGGTCCTTCCCCTCCCTACAGGTCCTCCCCCTCTACAGGTCCTCCCCCCCCCTACAGGTCCTTCCCCTCTTATAGGTCCTTCCCCCTCCCCTACAGGTCCTTCCCCTCCCTACAGGTCCTTCACTCCCTACAGGTCCTTCCCACCCCTTACAGGTCCTTCCCCCTCATCAGGTCCTCCTCCCTACAGGTCCTTCCCCCCCTACAGGTCCTTCCTCCCACAGGTCCTTCCCCTCTACAGGTCATTTAGGTCCCCAGGCCTTTCCGCCTACAAACATTCTGTATCGAGTTACCAGGTCACTCGAGGCGTCTTAACAGGACCTGAGAGAAGGTGATATAAACGACCATTATTGTTCATTCCAGCCATAACAGACGACCGAAGACTTCAATAAAAACCGGTATATTACAACTCTGTCTTACCGAGGTATGCTGACCCACTGAGCAAGTAATTGAAACGGACCCAGACAATGTTGGAGGTTTGAAAGAGCCAGGACTGGTGATGAAGGTGGAGCTCCAACACCTCCGTCAAGTACCAGTGTGAGAGGGTTAAAGAAAAAGTGGAGAGAGGAGGGAGAAGAGCCAAACCTCACACACGCTAATACCTGGTTAATGTGATGCGTGACCCGTGGCGGGCGTCGTCAACCAGCTAGCCAGTAGGAAGTCAGAACCCACGTAATGCCAGCAGCTGCACCGTTGATTGGTCAGTCTCGACAGGTAGGGTGGCTGGTGAAAAAGAGAGGGGGGAACGTGTTAAAGTTATGACGGGTGAGGCAGGCAGGTCTACGATAACCAAGAGATAACACGATAATAAGTTATGACGGGTGAGGCGGGCAGGTCTACGATAACCAAGAGATAACACGATAATAAGTTATGACGGGTGAGGCGGGCAGGTCTACGATAACCAAGAGATAACACGATAATAAAGGCTGTTATCACATTATCTCAATCCTCAACGAAAGAATAAATTAGTAAAGCGAGAAATTACCCTTAATAATCCTCACTAACAAGAAAAAATATAATTGGAAGGTGTATGAAGACTTGATAACATCCGAGAGGTTGATTAGCAACACGCGCAGGACGATAAGGCGGTTTACAGGTAAGATATACGTAATTACTCACCGCAGGTAAACAAACATTAATTGACTTATTTTACACAATAACACACACACACACACACAAGCGCGCGCGCGCAAGATGTCCTCAAGGGAACACTATATGGCCTCAAGACAGATGACGTGTTCTCACCCAGGCAGTAACACAAGATGAATCATTTCTTGACATAGAAATTTTTTGGTGCTGTCAAACGAAATTAATGTCCAAAATAACATGAAAATTACCTAACCTAACCAACCCTAATCTAACCTAACATAACCAACATAAATACTATTCTGACTTAGCACAACCTAACCTAACCTAACTCCACCTAATCTAACCTAACTAAACCAAAACATAACACCTATTCTGACTTAACACAACCTAACCTAACCAAACCTAACCTAACCTAACCTAACCTACCTTAATCTAACCAAATTAACCAAACATAACACCTATTCTGATTTAACACAACCTAACCTACCTTAATCTAACCTAACTTAACCAAACATAACACCTATTCTGACTAACACAACCTAACCTAACCTACCTTAATCTAACCTAACTTAACCAAACATAACACCTATTCTGACTTAACACAACCTAACCTAACCTACCTTAATCTAACCTAACTTAACCAAACATAACACCTATTCTGACTTAACACAACCTAACCTAACCTACCTTAACCTAACCTAACTTAATCTAACCTAACTTAACCAAACATAACACCTATTCTGACTTAACACAACCTAACCTAACCTACCTTAATCTAACCTAACCAACCAAACATAACACCTATTCTGATTTAACACAACCTAACTCCACCTTAATCTAACCTAACTTAACCAAACATAACACCTATTCTGACTTAACACAACCTAACCTAACCTACCTTAACCTAACCTAACTTAATCTAATAAAATCTAACGTAACTGAGGAAGGACCATGGAGAGAGAGGTGAACCCCCACGCCCCCTAGCCACCCTCCCTCTCACCCTATCCCACCTCCCTCTCCCCTATTCACCCTCCCCCCCCTATTCAACCCTCCCTCACCCTATTCACCCTCCCTCCACCCTATTCACCCTTCCTCACCCTATTCACCCTCCCTCTCCCTATTCACCCTCCCTCCCCTATTCACCTCCCCTCACCCTATTCACCCTCCCTCTCACCCTATTCACCCTCCCTCTCACCCTATTCACCTCTTCCTCACCCTATTCACCTCCCTCTCTATTCACCTCCCTCTCCCCTATTCACCTCCCTCACCCTATTCACCGTCCTCACCCTATCCACCCTCCCTCACCCTATTCACGCCCTCTGCCCTATTCACCCCTCCCTTCAACCCTATTCACCCTCCCTCCCCCATTCACCCTCCCTCACCCTATTCACCCTCCCTCATCCTATTCACCTCCTTTCACCCTATTCAACCCTCCCTTTCAACCCTATTCACCTCACTTATTCACCCTCCTCACCCTATTCACCTCCCTCACCCTATTCACGCCCTTCACCCTATTCACTCTCCCTCTCCCCTATTCACCTCCCACCCTATTCACACCTCCTCATCCTATACCTCCCTCATCCTCTATTCTCCCTCACCCATTCAACCCTCCCTTCACTCTATTCACCTCCCTCTCACCCTATTCACCCTCCCTCTCACCCTATTCACCTCCTCTCACCCATTCACCTCCCTCACCCCTATTCACCTCCCTCATCCTATTCACCCTCCCTCATCCTATTCAACCCTCCCTTTCACCCCATTCACCCCTCCCTCCCCATTCACCTCCCTCTCACCCTATTCACCCTCCTCTCACCCTATTCACCCTCCCTCTCACCCTATTCCACCTCCCTCATCCTATTCACCCTCCTTCACCATATTCACCCTCCTTCACTCCCTCTTACCCTATTCACCCCTCCCCTCACCTCCCTCCTCTATTCACCTCCTCACCTATTCACCCTCCTCCTCACCCTATTCACCCTTCCTCAACCCCTATTCACCTCCTCTCGCCGTATTCCTCCTCACACTTAATCCATCATCACACGCCAATATCCTCAACCTATACAGACGCTTCCTGTGTTCACGTATACCTCGATACCTGTGTAATTACTGGTAC